CGTGTGGGGTGAGAAGAGTGGCTCCTCGAAAGAGCTGCTCAGTCGCACAGACAGGACCAGATTGCACTGATGCCTAGATCCCAGTGCATAAACGACCATCTTATCTATGCCGCCCATGTGCAGAGTTGTGACTAGAGACTCCCGGCAGTCATCTCTGCCTGTCCCCGTCGCCACTTGTCCGTCGCCATAGGACTTTTGGGGATATAGGGGTTTTAATGATGATGAGAAGTATGATGAGCTGGATGATGGCTGCATGCGAGTTGATTTATGTAGCGAAGCAGAAGTGCAGGCTGCAACCACACGTCTTGGCTCTCCCTTTTCCTGATCCAGTGGTGCAAGTGTTACAACGACTGGGGAGAGGCAGAGTTGCAATGGACTGCCGATAGCCCAGTTTGTTGGGTTTCGCATAGTAGCCTGTCCATCATGCATTGCCTTCACCTGCCGGTGTAGTCGTTGGGTTCCCATGTTGGTCACCTCTTCCCCATATACCGCCATTGGGGTCTTGTTGGAGCTCTGTAAGCATGTCTGCCTGATGCGGGGCTCCACTGCAGATTTTTCGTTGAGGGATTACTCCCGTAGCCTTATACCTACCAAGGTTAATCCGGAGGCAGCAGGGCAATGGTTGGTAGGCGCCAGGACGTGTCCACATGCCAGTGGGCCTATGCGCCGTCCCTCTGGGGCCCACTGCTGCTCCGAGGTCCCTTGCATGGTCTAGCCTGGGCCCACGAGGCAGCCCCTTACCGTGTGTTGCCACGAGGAAGCACAGTAGGAATCTTGATGGTGAGGAGGCTGTGTACTGGCATGGGAGGACCTATGCAAGTTGCTTCCCTGTTCGCCACGAGGGCTAGCCAGAGACGGTAGCTGAAAGCGAGAGGGAGCAAGTAGTGCCTGCACCTTAACACTAATATAATGACGTAATACACCACCTTGTGCGCGCACACACACACACACACACACACACACACACACGAAGTAACAGCACTAAAGAAACAGACCGAGCTGTGTCGTAGCTTAAGTGAGTCAGTCAGGTACGCCATCTCCTTTTTCGTCAGGTGAAAAATTAAGGTAAGCCCTCTTAAGACTCGGGCCAGGGAGGTTCATAAGTCGTTTTCATGGACAGCTACTTTCCATTATCCTTGACTTGTTTACTCTTCAGAAATAGGACGTAACTCGGCAGACACACTGTAGGCTACTGTGCACGATATTATATTTATCTTAGAACTGAATACAGAGCCAGAGAGCTGTACCTTCCTTAAATTTATAATTACTATATGTATTTAGTAACCAGGAGTACGCGCTTAAAGTAATATATTATATCAGTAAGATCAACTACGTCGAAATTATGTTACAGCTCTATTTAAAATCTTCAGTCAACAGGTAAAGCGGTCCGGTATGGTGTCTGGGAAGCGATGTAAATTTTTGTATACAACAGATTCTGAAAGATTATTACGTAAAATTTAATTTTTTCGCAATTGGAGTTAAGAAAACATAGTTATAGAAGTATTTCAGTGTACTGTACTGTACTGTACTGTACTGTACCTTCTACATTATTTTGGTCCTCTATAGAAGTGTTGTTTAAGCAGTTAATTTAATACTGTCTCAAACTCAAGTTAGAGGGGAGATTTGACATAGAAAACTGGCAATCTATTAATTGGGTCTTAAGTAAGCCAGTTAGTTGTATTATCTTATACCCAGTTAAGGGAAAATTTAAGTTACGAATCTTTGAGAATCCGTCATTGTGTCGTAACTTGCATGAACCAGTGAGGGCATCGCCATCTTTAATAACGGAGAAATTAATTATTTGCCTTACGATCTTTTGGGAGTGATGGCAGCACCCCACAACCAAATTAAATTAAATTACTGGACATTACATGACAATTACTACAAAATGAAATATACAATATTTTCTTTAAATAAATTATAAATAAATTATATATAAAGTACTAAGACAATATTTTAGGATTTATAAGTTCTTTGGTCGATGTTGTCTTTCATAAACAGGTTGTCATTTCACCATCTTACGGAGTTGTTGGTAAAAGTGCCAGTCATAATCCTCGCCTTGGGCAGCAGATTATACCCTATTTCCTGATGGAGTTATAGGACTTGACGGTGATGCTGCAAGGACTCCGTATGTCAGGTTCTGTATAAAAGGAGCTTCCTAAAGGAGTCCAGCACACTCCTCCTTCTACCCTCCACTGAAGACTAGCAACAACTCCTCTGCCATGGTGAGATAACATGTGTTAGTTGGTAAAGTATCTTGGTATATTGTACATAACAAGTATCAACAGAGTTTTCTATTACTCTAAGGTATTTTTGTCTCCTGAGAAACTGTAAATATCACTAAGTGTCATCATGTTTTCTGTGGTTTCACGTCATCTGTCTCAGCCAATCAGTGTTTAGGATCCACCGTCATTCACCTCCTCTCAGTAGAATGCATCGCCGGACTAAAACTTGTACTCATTCTTGGTGTTAATTCTTCATCATAAAGTAATTCTGTTTGCTTTACCGTCATTTACTAAGACATATATTAGAAGAGGTAGAGTAATGTATTGATTGATATTAGTATATTAATGGAAAGCTGATCACATCCTTCTGTTGTTTGAATCCGATATCTTTGTTTCTTTCAGAGGATCACTTTAGCGTTGGCGGGCGTGGCTTTGCTGGTGATGGTCTGTCAAGCCTCGCCAGGGAGGATACACGGGTCCTCCAGTGGTGGCGGGCGGGGTCATTCTGGCGGAGGTGGCGGCTCATCCGGAGGTTATGGCTCCAGAGGTGGAGGCGGAGGTGGAGGTGGCGGCTCATCCGGAGGTTATGGCTCCAGAGGTGGAGGCGGAGGTGGAGGTGGTGGCTCATCCGGAGGTTATGGCTCAGAGGTGGAGGCGGAGGTGGAGGTGGCATCCGGAGGTTATGGCTCCAGAGGTGGAGGCGGAGGAGGTGGAGGTGGCGGCTCATCCGGAGGTTATGGCTCCAGAGGTGGAGGTGGCGGCGGACATGGGGGAGGTGGAGGAGGTGGAAGTGGAGGCTCAGGAGGAAGATACGGAGGTGGAGGTGGCGGCTCCTTTGGCGGTGGAGGTGGGCATGGAGGTACATCAGGGGGAGGATTCGGAGGAAGTCCTTCAAGATACGGAGGTGGAGGCAGCTCCTTCGGTGGAGGCGGACATGGAAGCTCATCAGGATTTGGAGGAGGACGTGGAGGTTCTTCTGGAGGAAGTTATGGCTCCTTCGGTGGAGGAAGCGGTGGAGGCTCCTTTGGTGGAGGTTCATCTGGAGGGCACGGAAGGTCTTCTGGAGGTGGCTCTTACGGGAAATAAATATCCGAGGCATCTTCAGCTACAGGCAGACAACCGCTCACTGTGACCCCCCACTCTCTCCACCACATCAGGTTCAGCCCCAAAAGGTACCAAGAACTTCCTTAATCTACAGCTCGATTCTTTGAAGATCTCAGACTCTCCACTAGGGACTCTGTTGAAGTGATAAGATCAATTTTGACACATCTTCAAAACCAAGTGTGTGTTTCCTCTAAATATCCCAGCCTTCATACTCCCAAATCTCCAAGGTTATTTCTTCTTTGGTTTCAGTCATATCTTTTCTCTAACTAATATTTTTACGAAACTGACGAACTTTTTTTGTACAGTCAGTCGACACTTAATAAACGAACCACTGCACGAAACGTTGTGTTTTATTCCCAATATATACGGCATGTTAGCGTTTAAGTAACCTTTCATTTTCATATTAATGCAGAAGTTTATTATCTTGTCGAGTCATAGATCTGAAGACTCCAAATGTTGCTGAAAAGAAATATGAGTAAATAAAACTGACTATGGATCAATACACAGAAGGACTCTCCGTCAGGTGTCGGGGAGTGGCAGGAAGGTGTTCACAGTCCCAGGTTGATGATCTGACTTTCTGCCTCATTTACACACAATTGCAGGTCTCAATTGTCTCTCTTACTTGACAACGCAACATACATTTAGCGTTTCTCACTATTTATTTTTATTTTTTCTTTATAGTTCTTTATTATTATTATTTTATTATTATTATTATTATTATTATTATTATTATTATTATTATTATTATTATTATTATTATTATAGTGTTATTATTATTATTATTATTGTTATCATTATCATTATTATTTTATTTTACTTTTTATTATAATTTTTATTTACTATGAATAATTATTACATTTTCGTCCCCCAGGCCCCAATGTGGGTCAGTGACCTGTGCTCGGGTGGGCTAATACCCGTAAAGAAAAGAAAAAAAGAAAAAAAAAAAATACCTCCAGCCCTGACAGCTTCCTTACCTCTTCTAACTAATAGGATTCTGACTCAGTCAAAATAGGACCCAAGCTAACCTAACTTAACCTAACCATTAAGATTGGGGCTCATTTGATTTCTAAATGTATTCAGGTGTGTAGTGCTGTAGCCTGTGAGTTACAACTTATAACTTTTATCTCATTATTATACTGGTCAAGGAATATTCAGTATAAAGTATTGTATAACATTTAGATATACGTGTTTTCCAAATTTTTCCTCTATATTAAGTTTTTACTCAATCAAAAGAATATATTTTTGTTGTTATATAAATAAACACTTTCATGAGTTCATTATATAACCTTGTTGTAAAAAAAAAAATGATTAGCGAAAACTAGGAAAAAGTTATTTGAGCTCAATGTGAGTCATTTTCACCACATATTGTTACTGCTGTAGAATTTGACCGTGGACTAAGAAAGCGGCGGCCAACACCAGCACACGCCCCAAGCGACTCACTCACGGGGAACGGCGGACGTGAGGGAGGAAAGTGTTACCTCAGGAATACCTTATGAAACAGAATCCTAAATCGGGAAATACCTCCCTCCCAACACACACACCCGTCGAAATAAAAATATACTCTCGCTGTTAATGTACATGAAAATACTTTTTTCTTCATATATTGTTTTTTTAACGAATATTTATAACAATGGAGTTCGAAGGTCGCGAGTATACCTTCAAGACTCCGGGTATATATAGATTGTCGGTTCCGGATCAGACATTCAGTCCCCAGGCTGACTCGAGTACGTGCACTTTACTACGAAACATGGTAAACAAAACACTTAACATTGTGTTATAAATTCAGTCTAAAGCAGCCATACAGGTTCAGCCAAAAGTACAGGTACACAGTTAAACACGTTATTAATCTTGAAAAAATAACAAATAAATTGCAGATATTAATATAGGTACAGCATAGTGATTCAGCAATTTTAATTTTGCTAAATATAAAAAAAAAGCCACGAAAATTGTACATACTAATATTATCCAGAGGAAACTGCTGACTTCAGTTATTCGTAATATGAAACAGACAACACTATAAAGGCAGTACAGTATTAAGTGTGTTCAAATTATAAAATTACAAAGATCGGTATAAAGTAAACAGAGATTCATGACCTTTCAGTGTTAATCCATTATAACCACTTTCTAGAGTACGTAGACAATTTTCGCCTCCTGCGTTGACTATAAGTTCTAGGATACATTCTAGAGTATATTAATAATTTGCATCATTTACCCCTATTCACTAGATATGACCTACGATATGGCAGGCAGTATATAGATATTTTACTAGAGTGAGAGACAGATTAATTATCCACTGACTAATCCAACTCCCTCGACTCCGCTTCATGATATCAAATTACAAAACCTTTCCATTACAGCTTCCAAAATGTAACTAATAAAATACCAGTTATTCAGGTTCTAGCGTTACCCAAGACAACAATGATAAAAAAAAAAAACTTCCGAAATTCTTTTATACAACGAGATTTTCACTGATTACTTTACGTGTTATTATGAATGTTGATGTGTGTAGATAAATCAGACTTTCCTCTCTATTACAGCAGTTGTTATTGGTCAGTATCCTAGCTGTGGTGGTCACCTCTTGTCTGTGCGCCCCTGCTGGACATGGGGGAGGAGGACATGGAGGATATGGGCATGGAGGGGGAGGCCACGGAGGGTTTGGACACGGAGGGGGAGGCCACGGAGGGTATGGACATGGAGGCTATGGTGTGGTTGTATATCCTAACAGCGTCTTCCACTTGAGGAATCCCAACGGTGGATATAGTCATGGTGGACCTGGAAACGCAGGACTGCACGGTGCTGGCGGCTATGGACATGGTGGCGGTCACGGTGGCGGCTATGGACATGGTGTGGCGGTCATGGTGGCGGCTATGGGCATGGTGGCGGTCATGGTGGCGGCTATGGACATGGTGGCGGCTATGGACATGGTGGCGGCTATGGTCACTGAAGTTGCTGTAACATCGATGACCATAACGCAATAGAAATCTCCCCCTATCGCCCCTCCCCTCCCTTCCCCTCCCCCCTCCCCCTTCCTCCTCCCCCCCTCCTTCCCCTCCCCTATCCTTCCCCCTCCCCCCCTCCCCTTCCCCTCCCCTCCCTTCCCCTCTCCCCTCCCCCCTCCCCCCTCCTCACCCTTCTCCCCTCCTCCCACCCAAACGTATTAATAATAATAATATATATAAAATAAATAAGAATATCAACAATTGTTTAATTTTCTTGGTATGTTCTTTAGTGAACTAATACATATAAATATTCTGCATTACTAACACGACTTAATAATACTCTTAGATATAGATATAGATAAATATAGAGAGAAAGAGAGAGTAATCAATAAATGGAGAGGTAGAAATACAAGCATAAAATAATAAAGATAGATAAATGAAGAGAGAGAGAGAGAGAAAACTAATAGCCGTTTTAGTAGTAGTAGTAGTAGTAGTAGTAGTAGTAGTAGCTCTCGATGCCGCACACAAGAGGAACGAGAACGACAAGAACAGGTCATACGGGAAGAGAATTCAGAACGTTGATCAAGGCAGCTTCACTCCTCTAGTGTTCACAACCTCTGGTGGGATGGGACCAAGTGCAAGATGCTTCTACGCCAGACTCGCGCAGGTGTTATCCGAACAGAAGCAGCAGCCCAGAAGTTATGTTACAGCCTGGATGAGATGTCGACTGTCCTTCTCTCTCCTTAGGTCTGCTTTGCTCTGCCTCAGGGGAACGAGAGCATCGGCCCCAAAGCCAATAACTGCTGCAGATATTGACTATGAGGCTACAGTCACTGAATGCCGCATAGATCTGCGGCTCAACTAACTCAACACAGATAGCATAGCTACTTATGTATTAGGATATTTAATTTTAAGGTAATAAAATGGCGGCGAAGGTGTGGCTATTGGGGGAGGCTGGAGGCCACGTTAAAAAAAAGTAGTAGTAGTAGTAGTAGTAGTAGTAGTACAAGTATTATAATATATATTCTGACATCTTATTGATCTGTCAGTTATTTCATTATGATGTTATTTTTCTTAAATTATATCAAATTGGTGTTAAGGTCAGTGACTCAGTAAATGAAAATATAAATTCCAGTTGATCGCTTAAGAGTTTTCTAAGACTAAAATTAAGATAGTACTTAGATATACCTTTAAAAAACCCAGAAGAGCTGAGTTTTTAATGAGAGAGAGAGAGAGAGATCTTGTGGTGACATAACCGTGACTTAGTGTGTCAGTGTTACAAAGGGGTTACTGTACCGAGAGAGAAACTCACCTAACAAGGATAATGGGCTTGTTACACACTGCTTCCATCGTTAAATCATATACGAAGGAACGACAAAAGTCAATCGATGTTTTCTTATATTCCAAAGTAAAATATTAACTTACGAATTTCTTTTAGCATTCAGAAGTTAAAGTGATTCAGTTAGGTGATTCTTTATGGTAGAAAAAGATAAATTAACGTAGGAATCAATGGGAATCGTGACGGTAAAGGGGGTCTTCAAGGCTGTGGTTTAATGGTAGGAGAAATACGACCTCACGAGACAAGAACACAATGACCGCTATTGAAAGGGGAAGGGGGGAGAGGGGGAGGTGGGGGAAGAGGTGAGAATAGGGGAGATATGGAAGGGTGGGGAGGGGGAGAGGGAGAAAGGGCTGGAGAAGGGGAAGGGGAGAGATGGGGTTAACAGTTGACTGATTACAGGGTTTTCGTGCAGGTCCTAAACTGGTGTGAGTGGGAGATGGGATGACTGGGTGTTAGGTGTCTTTAACTGGCGATTAGACTGAAAGGGAGACTGGTATGTCGGTAACTGTAGAGACTGCGTAGCTGCTGACTGTAAAGGTTCAAGGGAAGGATGCCATAGACTGGACCTTGACAGAGATTTAACAGGGCCATTAACTGGTGATTGACAAGGGGGAAGTACATAAACAGACTCTCTTAAGATACAGTCAGTATCTATCAAAGTGTTTATTCTTTATTAAATACTTCAATGTGTTTCTCCTCATTCTTTTCTCTTTGTTTCTTAATTCTTGTTTTCTTTTCACAGGTAATGAGTAATGCGTGACTGAGGTGATGATAGTTCGTCAGCGTGTTAACTGGGTCACTGGGGGGGGGGGTGTCTTGCGTGAGGTACTGTGTGTGTGTGTGTGTGTGTGTGTGTGTGTGTGTGTATGTGTGTGTGTGTGTTATATGACCATACCTCACACCATTATCCTTGGTCAAACTGTTTTATTATTTACTGTTATTTATCATCACCATCTATGCAAATCATTTCTATACCTTTACTGTTTATATCTATGGTAAATCAATGTGAATATGTATGACGATTTTGCTGAATAATTATAGCAACAATTATCTAGTTTATGAATTTGATATTGGTCATTCTTTCCCCCCACCCCGTTGTCTTATTAATTTCGATTATTTTGTCTGTTTCTTAAGTAAATCTGTAGCAAAAGGTATTAAGGATTTTCCGGCAGTTCATTACGTCATATAATACGCAGGTGAAAGGTAGAGAATAAATCTGTAAATATTGTACACGGATTTTTTCTTCCACCAGATAATAGTTACTTCACCAAATCTAAAAATTATATCTATTGATCAGATAAAAAATATATATTGTCGTAATCGGTTGAGTGTGAGAGAGTCATCCGTGTGAATTATTTTAATCATTTCTCCTCAGATGTTGTCAAGTGAAAAAAAGAAAGGTCTCAGATTTACCAGACATTGTCACTTTCTACCGTTAAGAAATAAAAGAAAACTCTAAAATACACATAATATTTTTATTTCACCACCATGGGTGTGTGGTGAGTGAGAAAAGTTAGACAGTGATATTTTTCTGAATATTTGAGACAGTAACTTTCACCCTTGACAAGTCTCGGCACGTATATCTTAGCACCCCAAAGAATAATTTATCAAGGTCATTCCTCGCTAGGCTTAGGGCGGCTTGTAGTCCACGGGGTAACAAAGGAACATATATTTCTTTACATAAAAGTTGTCTTGTTCGGTGGGATGATATACTGTGATACGATAGCCAGATTTACAATGTTTATGTGATTTTTTCGGGAAGAGATTATTCAAAGAAATTTAATTCAAATGCAGGTTTATGCATTTAAATGGAAATGCATTTTTTAAATTAATAAAATGTCAATGCAAATTCGTATGCCATCACACACAGCGAGGCGTCCTGTTCATCAGTGACCGCTGACTTTGTGAGATATTAATATTACAAGTAGAAGATTTGAAATATACATATGAAAAAAGTCAAATGTAAATGCAAGGGTTTTACATTCAAATGCAAGTGCAAATGCAGAAAAGATAATAATTCCATATTTAAATACTAATTAAAATGTATTTATTGATAAGAAAAGAAACTTTTGCGACTAATTCTGTACATTATTATTATTATTATAATTATTATTATTATTATTATTATTATTATTATTATTATTATTATTATTATTATTATTATTATTATTATTATTATTATTATTATTATTATTATTATTATTATTATTATTGTTGTTATTATTATTATTATTATTATTAGTTATTATTATTATTATTATTATTAGTTATTATTATTATTATTATTATATTATTATTATTATTATTATTATTGTTATATATATTATTATTATTATTATTATTATTATTATTATTATTATTATTATTATTATTATTATTATTATTATTATTATTATTATTATTATTATTATTATTATTATTATTATTATTATTATTATTATTATTATTATTATTATTATTATTATTATTATTATTATTATTATTACCAAGTGACCTTCCCATACCCTGGACACTGTAGTAGCTTGCTGTCCACTGTTAGTATTTCACGAACCACACTCCACTCTGCTCAGGTAGACACGTTTGATTACACACCTGACGAGAGGTTACCTGAGTATCATGCTCCGTGACGCCCCCTGTATTACTGCACTACGACGAGTTAGGTGTTCCGCTCCATAAATCTGTCTTAATGGCGTCTTGGACCTGTGTTGTGGACTACCTGCAGTGAATGGAATTCTTGGCCCAGTCTTAATTTGTCTTACGAATCGTTCAAGGTTTTCTTTTCTTAATAATTTACACAGATAGTTTTCTCGTAATTGTTTATGTTGATGTAATAGTGTAATTACTAACCTTGTTATGTGCTTAAGTACCTTCGTTGCTGAAGCACAGTAATAACATCATAAAAACAACATTGTTAACTTAAAGTGTGTACGGTGAATGTAGTTACTTAATATTGTTTATCAATGACCAACACACCACCAGAGAGGGTAGTACTACAACTATATGAGAGCTTCTACAACACCAGTTATTAATAGATAACCTTTATTTTTACTCCATATTTTAGTTTTGTTCTTAAATCTTTTGTTACACAATACACTCCCCAATCCTCCCATACCTAATACCCAATAAGCACTCGGACTTCTACATTAATCAACCCGCCAGATTGACCGGGGAACGCTACCTCTGGACAGAGGTAGCGTTCCCCGGTCACAGTCATGGGCTTGTGGGCCGTGGGTTTGAGTCCTGGCGGGTTGAGGTGTTGATTGTATATATATATATATATATATATATATATATATATATATATATATATATATATATATATATATATATATATATATATATATATATATATATATATATATCATAAGCTTTTGAATACGAATATCCATTCCTTTGATTAAGCTGACTTTATACGCAGGAAGTTAAGCCATCGTATTGAGGGGATAAAGCGGCCGCAGTAAAGAGGATAGAAGTGACAGACCTGACTAGTCTTTTTTTTTGTCAGCTGAGAGGTGAAATGCACACTCATACTAGTGCTTGTCTGATGACCAGGACATAATACCTATACTCTGACATACGCTTAAAGCTCTTAAAGCTCTTAAAGCTTGCGTGCTAAGAGGCGTACTGTGTTCCCCCTACCCCCCCCCACCAAGAGATTATGGTTCTATTGATTGTAGGCCTGAGCCTAGCGTACCGACGGCCGTGCAGCACCCCGTCACGCTGCCTCACGACAACTTGGTGACGTATTTAAGAAAATCTTGCCTGAATCGACGATGTACCATTCAGATTTTATCACAAAGATCTGTCACTCGTAGGGTTTAACGGGAGATTGTAGTTTTAACAGTAACAAAAACAAAAGGTTTCATATTACCTCCGATTTCTTGTTACAGTTATACTCATGCAAAAAAAATCCATCAGTCAGGTCATTAGAGGCGGGTAACGCGCTAATGGTAAGTGAGGAACGGAACACAATCCCTTGATAACTTGTCAAGTGCTTCATTGTTATTTATTATGTATCAGGTAATTCTCCCAGTGATTTATCTTACGGTTGACGGGTGAGTCAATACTGGGGTGACGTAACCAGTCTTAGGTGATATAAAATGTCTATTTTTTATATTGTTTTTTCGGCCACAAAGACAATTATTGTAACGCATGATATATACAAAAGTGTTCGAATGTAAGTTATTTATATTTTAGTGTAATGAAGAATGAATATTAATAATATTTTGTTAGGGTCTTAAATTAATTGAATAATAATCTACAATTCATTATCAAACGTTCACATTAATTATCGTATATGTACATTTACTTAATACATTTATTTTTTAGTACTGACCAATCTATTTATTCTGTAGAGAAACTTAGATTAAATAACATAAGTATTCGCCTTTTTATATAATCTCCATATAACAAGATAACTTATTTATCGTTATTAAATGAAAGAATATTAAACACTGGAGCCATAGTAAAATAAATAAGACATTTTTTTAGTCAATACATAATATCCGGGTTGCCTAAATCATCGATCATTACTGGAAGCAAATGTTTTAGAATTCGATGATAATCTAAACAAAAATTAAATGAAATGATTTATAATAATTTCATTGTTTTCACCCGACACAAGACCTAATGTGTAAATTTCTTAACCCTTGAGTACTATATCAACCCCGTGAGTATAATGATTTAACCCCTTGAGTATAATTATTTAGCCAATTCATTGAGATACCTTAACCCCTTGAGTACGATGATTTAACTTATTGAGTACCAGATCCTTTGGATATGATATTTCAATATTTAAACACGATAATCCTCATAGAAATAAGAATCTGAGGGTTTTGTTGGTTATCCTTGGACGAACTGACTTGCTGTTTATCATTGTATACCTGGGCAGTCTACATGGTGAACTGTGTACCTGCATTTTTTTCTATACAGGCCAAACAAATTGTACATTTTGATGACGATTTTACTGACTCTCTCTCTCTCTCTCTCTCTCGTTATCAGTTACGTCACCAGTCTCAGGAAAAAATGACAACAGCTATAGTCGTCCAGTATTTTAGGTCATAAATGGAGCCTTTCCACTAACATCACATCTCCTCATAGCGTAATTTCGTCACAATTTGGCTAAAGAGAATTGATTCTTTTGTGAGCGTCAGTGCGAGGAAGAGTATAAAATAGGAGTGACACTTGACACGTCGTGCAGTCAACCCGCCACCACCACACACCATGGTAACGTTGCTCGCCTCATCCCAAGAAGTGCTTTGTTTAGCCTTGTGATGTTTACAGACATTGTTATTCAGTGTTTTAGTCTGGCGTTTAGTTGATCTGGGTGCAGTTAATTTCAGCAGTTATATAGGGCATTAATACTGTTTTGGGGGTTAATACTAATTGATATTACACACAGACAATGCTATTCACGTTTTCATCTTGAGAAGTTAAATCAAATATTATTCATTTTTATAATCACGTTGTTGTGAAATATCGTATTAGGAAGAACATAGGGCAGTACTGCTTAAAGTGTATCTTGTAGTGACTTGAGGGAAGATGGTGTGATTTAATTTCCTTATTATATCTCTGTTGCAGTTAAGGTTTATATATCGTATTACAGTTAGAGTAAATACAATGACAATGGTAAAGTGGCCTGTATCAGAGGTAAGATTATCTCGTCCCCAATTGCTTAGAGATGAAAATGTATTCTGTATAATTAAAGAGCTGAAAGTTATAGGTAAATAGGATAGAAGGAACAAGTTACTCAATAAAGAGGTAATGTGACGACTGAGTTAGGTGACTGAGGAAGAAATTAGATTATAGGAAACTTACAGATGTTATTATTACTGTGATAAGGATTTGTTGTAATCAAGTGTTTCATTTGTCTCTTTTAGAAGTTGATTTTGTCTTTGGTGGGAGTCGCCCTTTTGGCCTCTTTAAGCCACGCTGATGGGCACGGAGGAGGTGGACATGGCGGTGGTGGACACGGAGGTGGTGGACACGGAGGTGGTGGACACGGAGGTGGAGGCTACGGAGGTGGTGGACACGGAGGTGGAGGCTACGGAGGTGGTGGACACGGAGGTGGAGGCTACGGAGGTGGTGGACACGGAGGTGGAGGCTACGGAGGTGGTGGACACGGAGGTGGAGGCTACGGAGGTGGTGGACACGGAGGTGGAGGCTACGGAGGTGGTGGACACGGAGGTGGAGGCTACGGAGGTGTCGGTGGAACATCAAGCAACAACTTCAACCTTGCGGGTCCCAAAGGTGGTGGTGGTGGCTATGGCGGCGGCGGACATGGTGGTGGTGGCGGCTATGGCGGCGGCGGACATGGTGGTGGTGGCGGACACGGCGGTGGCGGCTATGGTGGCGGCGGTGGACACGGCGGTGGCGGGGGTGGCTACGGAGGCGGCGGACATGGCGGTGGTGGACACGGAGGTGGATATGGGAAGTAATCAACAAGCTAAATATCGACGAATAATAATGAAAAATGAATAACAATTCCTTTATTCCCATCACCTTCACGGCGCGGCTCCTTTGTTTACCTTATCATTTAATAATTATTTTTGTAATTTGAAATAAAATGTATTAAAATAATTCAGGAATTTTTGATGGTCGCAAAAGGGGTGTAATTGAATCTTGTGCGTATATTGCTTTAAAGAGGTTTCCAATTGTGTGTGTGTGAGTGTGTGTGAGAGTGTGTGTGTGTGTGTGTGTGTCATGGCGGTTAAGTCAAGATAAGAATCGAAAATTTAACTTCTTATTGTTCTCGTAGATTTCATAAGTGTTTGTATGCATAGTTACATCATGTACAATGTAGTTACGATTAATATGGTTCTTAAATGCTTACTCTATTGTTTATTGTACAACCAAGTAAGTGAGCCTGTTTGTTCGGTATCTTAGCTAATTTGTATTATCACCTCAAAAGGTCCTCGTCTCCTTCTGAATGAATCAGTATAGAACCTAAAGGAGAGTAATGTAACGCCAGTTGTGTTGGGATCGTGAAGTTCATCCACCATTGACCAGTGAGTATTCTTGGTTATAATGTCCCTTACCTGAGGATGTTACACACATTTCATCTATAATATTCCGTTTTGAATGTAATAGTAAAAAAAATATGGACAAACAAACGATTTCTTACTCTCTCACAATCTTCTCACTCTCTCACAATCTTCTCACTCTCTCACAATCTTCTCACTCTCTCACAATCTCTCTCCAGATGAAGATGACAGGTTGCTCAAGTTTTCGGGGCAAGAATATATTTCTTAATACGTACGTAAATTATGCCCTTGATCATTATAAAAACAAAGAAATATAAATATATTTTACATGGGTGTCAATAATATGTTTAAACGTAAAAAATACGGTGCAACATATGCAAGGCGATTATTTCTCAATTGAAAGGAGCAATAAAAGCCCCTTATGCACGAGATACAACAAACAAATATTGAAATACGACCTAAGTGACATCTTATCGTCCATCACAAGCCAAATTTATTTCACCTGTTGGATCAGTGTGGTGGTCTGACCTCCACACACATGTCACAGATGCGGGGGCTGAGCCTCTTGTCCCAAACGAGCGGATGGGCCGACACCAGCCTCAGTGCGTCCAGTGTCATTAAGGTCGTCTGTTTGTTTACTGAACAATGAATAGCACCTACCATGAAATCATCAAAATGGCACCTTATCAGTTTTGCTTTATAAGAAAGAAAGTGCTTACAAGACCAAGGACAGCTGGAGTTAATATCTAGGACAATTGGATATAATCTAATCCGCAAAAATCAATCTAACCTGTTATTGTTGTTATAACTGTCTGTATCTCTTGTTCTTATAAGTTAGTACATCATCACACAGCCAACATATACTGTGTCTCAGAGCATCATCATACCAGGTCTTAGTCTTCCACGGCTGATAATAGCGGGCTTCTTCCCCTTGGCTCCCTCACGCCGTCAGGTGCAAATGGTTGTTGCAATTAATAAGTTATTTTAGGCTATTAATGAATGTCTTAAAACCACATTTACAATTTTACTTCTTCTTGGTCACGTAAATATTCATTAAGACATGGCGCTCTATTATCAAACTCAATAATCAGACCCACCTCACTAAAACTACTTGGTTAGGTTAGGTTTCCTTGATTCGATGGTAAAAATATACAAGGTGCCCTTCCAAACTATTCACATGTGTTGAACAGCTTATAGTATAAGCATCAGATATATCTGAAGCTTAATTGTTTTTAGATTCCAGCTTACAATATTTCTTCTCTCACTCCAACTGACACTAAAAAAATAAGAATGGATTCAGGGAATTACAGTTTCACAACAGTTAAATTGATTCAAATACTCACTTGGTGTATCCTTCCTAAATAGGATAATATATGAATCGTATTAAAAAAAAAACTATTGTAAGGAAACATCTACTGTACACTCGACAGTCCTTCCTTGTGTTTTCTCTGCAAGCAGGTGAATCGAGACGCTATATTGTAAACACAATGGCAGCAAATCTGCTTATTTTCCATATTAACTTAACAGTATGTCTATATTTTCCGCCAGGTAAGTCCACTAAGAGGATGGAGGGTCACTCATATGGCCCACGAACTAACTGGGTTGTTCACCGCTGCTCTACATAATGTGAAATCTTGTGTGTTAACGTTTCTCTATACACTCACGACAAGGGAGTACAGTAACCAAATACTATTATCTACAGTACAGTATTGGTCTCCTATTTATATGTTGTTATTATAATTTAATCATACTCTCATATTAGTGATTTGTGTATAAAATCACCAGGCATAATCAGCATTTATAACACAGGTCTTAAAACACGTCCACAGAAACTGATCTTACACAGGACAACTACCAGGTATTAAAGATTAAGAGATATACAGTATGTCTAATGTTAGCTAGCAAGGAGAAAGGTTTATTGGGGGTTGAACGTTTATAGTCTTATACGGTGTGAGCAGCAGCGCCAAAGAGTAAATATTCCAGGTATGATTGAGATGAAGTATATGAAAGTTGTGTGTCGTCTTCTCCAACAAAACAACAGGCAGATTTGGAAATGCTAAGATTATAATGATAAGCCAAACCTTCCCGTTCTCCATTGTTATCATTCATTTCCTGTTGTCTTGCTTGATAATAATACATCCACCTCTTATAATGAAATAATCTAATCCTGTCATGATGCAATAACAGTTAGAGACAGAGACAAACACACACACACATCACATAATTTATTCGTTGAAACATTTTCTTGACCTTGTATACCTGAGTACCGTCACAAACTTGGTGGGTGGGAAGACTTCAGATACGACGCTTGGAGGAGTAGTATATAAGACCTGAGTTGCCTCCCTCAAGCACTCACTCCATCCTACCCCAGCCATCACACACTCACACACATATACATCATGGTAAGATTTTCTAATGAATTTTCCTTCAAAATCTACTTTTAACACTTCAAGTAGTACAGGCACATAGGGTGAACTGTAGCTGAGAAGTTGATAAGAGTGAATAAAGGCACAAAAATAAGATGAAAGCAAATGAATAGGCAATAAATGGAGTGAAATAGAAGAGATAATTAAGTTAGTAAGTGAGGTTTAGAGTCATACATGTTAAGCAAACTTAAAGGTTGACTGTCATTCTTGTTTGGTGAAGTTGTCTTGTGTACATAACAGTGTAAAATGAACGAACCTGAAGACTCTTCCTCTTCTTTTACTTTCAGAAATTTCTTCTACCTCTGGTGGGAGTCGCCCTCCTGGCCTCTGTAAGCCACGCTGATGGACATGGAGGAAGTGGCAGACACGGAGGTGGTGGACACGGAAGTGGTGGACATGGAGGTGGAGGCTACGGGATTGGTGGATATGGCGGCGGAGGTTACGGAGGTGGTGGGGGCTACGGAGGTATCAGTGGAACATCAAACAATAACTTCAACCATGCAGGACGCTTGGGTGGTGGTCATGGCGGTTTTGGCATCGGTGGCAGCATTGGAGGCTATGGCGGCGGTGGACATGGCGGTTATGGCAGCGGTGGTAGCTATGGTGGAGGTGGATACGGTGGCAGCGTTGGAGGCTATGGTGTTGGTGGCGGCTTTGGCGGCGGTGGACACAGAGGAGGAAAATACGGGAAGTAATTAACAAGATCTTAAAATATCGATGAAGATTCTGTAAAAGCTGAACCAAAGTCTAGTAGCTTCTATTATAAAACACTTCCCACATGTCACGGCTCTTTGTTCCTCAGTGTTACGTAATGATCTTATTTTTATATGTCCCAAAAATTATACCAAGAATAAACTAGAATCATACTTTTCATGATAGGTTTAAATTATTTATACACAATACTTTACACAATACATCAATAATTTTGAAACAAATTAAGATAATGTATTAATCTCTGGAGTACCATGCCCATCCCCCAACGAACAATGATATTACATTCTTAATCCCATGAGTATAATGACTTAAACCCTTGAAAATAATGATAAGTCCTGAGTACGATAACTTAAACCCCTGAGAGCCCTTAAAATATGCTAACATTAAACACAAGGAAAGAAATCATAATTAGGATGGAATTAGTGACTATATAAAACACACACACACGCACACACACACACACACGCACACACACACACACACACACATTGAAGACTCTTGATATATGAGCTCTGTTCACCTACTTCTTATGGTGTTCATTCGAAACCAATTTCCCTATTGTATTTTGATATTCTAATGGATACTCCTATCAATACAGTTTTCTTCTCTCGCCAGCAGGATATTCATATCAATATCCTTACCATCTCCTTTTGATGAGTATTCGTTCGAATCAAACTGCTCCGTTGCTATGGACCCTTCACCGCCAGTGTACCACGAACTTCTGAACGGAACTGTATTTGAAACCTATTACACCATTTTAACATATATCTGTATTAACTACTTTTCAAATATAACAATGAAAATAAAAACGTACGGATAAAAAATATAATCAATGATGAAGCTGTATTGTTATTATCAACGAGAATATTTTTTTCTTCCAGGTTCACGATTGTCAGAAACTTAAGCTCCAGCAGTGAAGGTTTATGTGACACGGAGCGACACTTTCGACACCAGAGAGAAAGGAGTTATATAAAAGGTCAAACTCAAGATTCTGTCAGTCAGTTCACCTCAGCCAACGAACAGGTCATAGTCGCCATGGTGAGGCTATTGTGAAACTTTGACTCAACTTACGATATTTACGATACAAAACACTTCAAGTTAAGATTACACAATGTATTGTTTTTAAGAATAGCCCAAAAAAACGATATTAAATTGACATTTCCTCATTTTTAATTGATGTTTACGTAGAGTTTGGGGATGTATAAGTTACTTTTATCAAGTACTATTTCCAGAAACTCCGTCATTAATGTGTGAGTGATGAAAACTGTGTAATCATAAGGGACAAGCATCTTATAATCCAATCAAAAACCACTTTCTCATGGTCCCAATATCAGATTTGGAGGCTAACGGTTTTAAATGGTCGTGAAACTCAAGATGTAACGTATTAAAAATAATTGAAAAAGAGCAAGTTTTCAATATTTTCCGCTAATAACTCCATTAATTTTAAAAGGCAAATGCAGAGGAACTGTTCACACTTGAAGCTCACTCGAATGACAGCCGAGGACTCACAATGCCCGTTTTCTGTTGATGTTTACTCCTGATGGCTGTACTTTATGTTTTCAGAAGCTGTTACTGACACTGGTTGGCGTCGTGCTTTTGGCTACTCTGAGCCAAGCTGGTGGACATGGTGGCGGCTACGGAGGTGGACATGGTGGCGGCTACGGAGGTGGACATGGTGGCGGCTACGGAGGTGGACATGGTGGCGGCTACGGAGGTGGACACGGTGGCGGCTACGGAGGTGTAAGTGGAACATCCAATAACAATTACAACATCGCTGGTCCCCGTGGTGGATACGGTTATGGTGGAGGCCATGGTGGCGGCCACGGAGGACATGGTGGCGGTTATGGTGGCGGCCACGGAGGACATGGTGGCGGCTATGGATACGGAAAATAAACGACCTGTCAACGCCAAAAACACCAGTGAACGTTTACAGCTAAAACCGATCACAACAATACCACTGAAGTCTGACTAATACGATGCCGATCTTACGAATGTACAACGTTTAGTGATAGAGTTAATGTGTAAATAAAACGAAATAAACTCTTTCAATAAACTGTGAATGATTTCGAATTCTTTCTTACTCACCAAACTAAGTATCAACAGTTATTATGTACAGTACAGTTATGCACAAAAGTCCTGTAACCAACTTCAATATTCTGAATAACAACAAACCAAGCCTTCCATCTACTGTACGGCCCACTGTTCGCTCTCTGGCTGTGAGGTTTTAAACTATAGGGGCCTTGATATTGTCTTAAGTTAGCCACAGATTGCGTACGCAACTCAAATTGAAAATAAATGACGTCACAAGCAACCTAACCTAACCCGATCTAGGAGAGAGGCAGAGAACCTACCTCACCCCGCTTCGCAATGGAAAAAACATGTGATGAACACCAAAAACACAGGAAAAATCATTTTATGTTAGTGGAACATGAGTAAGTATAATTATAACAAAAAATCGTAAAAAAATAACGCAAGAAGCTAACGGAGACTGATGACGATAAATTCCTTAACAATTACCCGCTATTTCCTTTATACCTCTTTTTTGTCACCCTATTATCACCTTCCTGTACTTCGCCTCGCACCTCCCCCCCCTCCACTCCCACTTCACCATTTCCTCGATCTTACAAAGTTTCTAAGAAATTATTTCTATTATAATGATACTAAAAACAAAGATGTCTTTACTTACCACTTCAGAATAGACTGCAGGCAGAGTAGATCAGGGCAGCACCAACAACGGAGAAGACCAAGATTAAGCACCAACATCACACAGCGACACAGAGCATAAGCAGACTTAACACTTGTCAAGTTCTTAGTTCTCGCTAACATACCGAGTAGAATGTAGATCATAAGCTCTGCAATAGACACAGAGAGGAAAGATAAAGGACTCGTGACAGACGTCCTTAATCTGGAAATGTAGTTTGTGATCTGAACAATAGTTGGCAGAATAATAACACAGGAATCGATCAACTGTGTTTTGGTTTAGGTAGACTCGGGAAGGTTACCGGACTGTTGTGGCCGACTGTACTGTACAAGATGGCTAGGATATGAAATCAAAGGCTGTCGAAGTAAAGTTGTAAAAGAACATCAAGTTTACATGTACAATAAACGGATAAATATATAAAATTAATATGTAAGGAATGTTTAAATCACCTTTTCTGTGAGTTGTCAGTTACCTATTCTACCTATCCACCCTTTGGCTTACTATGAATATATCAGCTGCCCAAGATTATAGATTAGACAGAATAACTTGTGTGTATTATCTAACCTCTCGGTCTAATGTGCAATCAGAGGTTGAAATAATTCGGGTCAATAATTACCAATTTTTTTAGGGCTAATTCTTCTAACCACTGAATCTATATAATATAAACAATATGATTAGGATATCCTGCCTCCCGTCATATTGTTGTGTTAGTATACAGTCTTGGGTTAATATGAGCCGGATTTATTGATTAGTTATCATGAAGGAGAACATAAACAGTATATCATTATGTAAGGGTTTCATAGTAGTAGTAGTAGTAGTAGTAGTGGTAGTAGTAGTAGTCGTAGTGGTGGTGGTAATAGTGGCGGTTTTACGAAATGTAATCAAAATCAATATTGCCAGGACGCTGATGAACCTCCCACAGAATTTAATTATATACACTGCTGAATCGACAGGGACACATAGAGTTTAATATTTATCTATATTTTGCAGTACTTAAATCAGTGACCTTTCATATTTAAACACAACCTTGACTACCGTAAAGAGAATGTTACCACTAAATACGGACATACTGGACCTTATGGTTGATGCTGTAAAATATAGTCAGACACACTCAGAAGGACGGGATGGCAGCTTGATTGTTCCTGCAGTTAGATAGACTGTCAGTCACCCAGTTAGACAGTCAGTCAGTTAAATAAAGTCAGTCAGTCAGTTAGTTAGACAGTCAGTCAGTTAATTAAAGTCAGTCAGTCAGTTAGTTAGACAGTCAGTCAGTCAGTCGTCACCAACACCTTCTACCCTCTTCTTGCTCTCCTGGAGACGACCCCCCCCCCCTAAAAGTAATGGTGGAGAGTGTAGATGATAGTGTAGGTAGCCAGTGTAGTGTAGATGGTAGTGTAGGTAGTCAGTGTAGTGTAGATGGTAGTGTAGGTAGTCAGTGTAGTGTAGATGGTAGTGTAGGTAGTCAGTGTAGTGTAGATGGTAGTGTAGGTAGTCAGTGTAGTGTAGATGGTAGTGTAGGTAGTCAGTGTAGTGTAGAGAATAGTAAACTGTAAACATTAACTGTTCCAAGTAATTGTGTTATCTACAAAAGGTGTATAACATTCAACAAACTTAGTTCATTGAGTAATACAAGATTAAGTTTGTTTATTCTAAGATTTTATTTGTATTTTTTATTATAAAAATTATTAATAATCTTGGAGCTGGGTGCGTTGTTAACGTCGCCCGGCTGCTGTGTTATTTCTATGGTAAAATTCATTGCATTCCTGCGGTCGTGTTTCGTTGCTGTTTTGTTTTCTTCGTTAACAGGTTGTTTATTTTCTGTATCCGTGGCCGCCACCATAGCCGCCACCATGTCCTCTGTGTCCGCCACCATAGCCACCACCATAGCCGCCACCATGTCCTCCGTGTCCGCCACCATAGCCATATCCACCACCATGGAGGCCTGCGATGTTGTAGTTGTTATTGGATCTTCCACCAACACCTCCGTAGCCTCCACCATGTCCTCCATAGCCGCCACCATAGCCTCCACCATGTCCTCCATAGCCGCCACCGTGTCCTCCGTGTCCACCAGCCTGGCTCAAGGAAGCCAGGAGGGTGACGCCAGCCAGTGACAACAGCAGTTTCTGAAAGATTTACATGCAGACAACACTTTACAGGACCTGAGTTCAAACACGTAACTAAACATTTACCATAAAGTTCAAATGCCTGTAGTAAAGTAGTAAAGTATTAAGGTTATGTATCCTCACAGGAACCTCTTATGTATTTTCTTATGTTACAATAGACATAAAAGTAAAGATTGATATCATTATGAATGAATATGGTCATCAGACACTGAAGCCAAAGTTAAACTGTTTAGCAGTATCTGGTCTTCTCTGGCTGTGGATTCGATGACTTCCCCAAGAAATAAATTAGTATCATCAAAGAATAACTGTAACAGAGATATTTTGTTGTTGAATAGCATTTTTTTCTTTTTAGTGGAAACTCAACTTGGTGTGTGGTATGATGCTTACGTTGGATGAAGAAATTTTTAATTTCTTCTGTTATTTATTTATTTTTAGATCTATTTGGAACCTTGCATGAACGAGATTTTCACATTAATAAATAAATGATTAAGAAATCACTAAGCTTGTACTGTTTTTTTTTCTGAAGGAATAATGTGAATCTGAATTGCAAACTTCCCGATTATATGTTCTATTGATTTATCAGTCTGACCAAACGTTGTGTTAGTTATGTTAGGTTAGGTTAAATTAGGGTTTGTTAAGCTATGATAGATTAGATTACGTTATGACAGGTTAGGTTAGGCTAGGTTAGAGTTTGTTGAGCTATGATCGGCTTGATTCAGTTATGATAGGTTAGATTGAGTTAAGTTTGGTTAGATAAAGTTAAGTTAGGTTAGAATCAATTAACGGGTTAAGTATCACAAATCGTCATCATCAGTCGACTATAAATCACGTCCTTACCATTCTGATTGTAACCTGTCGGCTGTGTGAAGTAAACTGAGTGATGAATTCTCGCGACCCGTCTTATATACTGTACAGTGTACACCTCTCCCTCTCGGCGCCGGAAACGTCACCTCAGATTTTACTGGAGATTCCAATCCGGATCTAAAATCCACATGAGGTTGAGAATATAGATGAAAAGCTGAACATTTATTTGACAATATAATTTTTTGTGTGTGTGTTTTATACTGCAGTATTTTTGTAATTATATTTTAAATATTTTATTACAAGAGTGGAAATGCCAAACAAAAGACTGCCTGAAGTATAAATCCACTAAGTCTATAAGAATAGGATCTTTTTTTGCCCGTTCTAATATTTCACTTCAGAAGTGGGTTCATGTTATGTATCTTTGGAATGAGCCGAAACATCATCGTGGACGTGCGCCACACTCTCCTATGTGGGTTTTCGGTACCGTCGATACGGACAGGAGCCCTTCAATTGGCTACATGGAAATTGTCGAGACAAGGGATGCTGCCACCCTTCTTCCAATAATACTCAAAGTGGTTCAACAAGGATCAGTCATTCACAGTGATGAGTGGAGAGCATACCGCAATATTTAAGGTCTTGGATAAACGCACAGAACTGTGAACCACTCAGTCAATTTTGTGGATGTGCATACTGGTGCGCACACACAAACGATCGAATCATATTGGAACAAGAACAAGAGTTACATCAAGACCATCCGTGGCTGCAAACAAAGCTTTTTAAATTCTTACCTTCAAGAATTCCTGGGGCATGATCGTTTTTCTGATAATCCTCTGGAAATTTTATGTCAACAAATTGCTGTTCAGTACCCTTTGTAATATGCATCACAATAAAGAAGCATAACACAAAGGAATTTATTTATGTTATCCTAATTATACAAATTATATTCACTGTGGACTGGGGTGACAATTCTTCAGGTGGGATATCCCGGGGTGACAATTCTTCAGGTGATCCCTTTGGTTTATTTTATGTGGTGTTTTCATCCGGCAAACTTGTAAAAAAGCAGTTTAATTTCCTTCAATAATCTTATAAGAAAAAAAAAGTTCACTTTAATCATACGAGAAAATTCAGTGCTCATTATTTTTATTACCTTTTTTTTAATAAAGCATATCACTAATCCACAGAATTAAATTTAAATTTCTTATAGTGACGATAATATTTTATATTAATTGCTACAGAAGTGTGAAACGTCAGGTAGTCATAATATTTGGGCCATGTCTAAGGTCTTTGTCGCACATTTTAAAGGCTATCCACCGCAGTTTGGTAACAATGTTTTGGCAACCTGGCTCACTTCGTCAGACGGCCAGAGTTAATTCAGTTGCCGGTGTTGTCATGTAAATAAGTGTCAAAGTGAAGTGTTATGAAGTGTTATAGCGAAGTGTTTATGAAGTGTTTTAGCGAAGTGTTATCATCGGCGAAGGAATATAAAGTTAAAAGGTTAGTAGTGGTCAACACAGCTTGTATTTGGATAATAATGGAGCAGACGGTTAGCACCAGGCTATTATGGAACTGCACAAAATTTTCAAGAGATGTTTGGATGATAGTAAGAAAATCGAAACGACAATACAAACTTACTAGAACCATACCTAACTGTACTTAAACTACCTAACTTGCCTAACATCATCTAACTTCCTAACCTGTGCATTATTATTTCGATTTTCAGTAATCCAAAAGCAGTTGGCTTACACCAGAGCACATAGTTCGATTTTGCTCATTTTTCGACAGATGTTCTTTGGACGATAGTAAAAAATAAAAACGATAACAATGCATAAAACCCAATATTACCTGACCTAACCAACCAAAGAAACCTATACAACCTTACCTAACTTCATAGCTAGGTTTTTTTGTGGACTTGAGACCACGCTCCGTCCATGGGGTCGCGTAAACAAAGACAACACGCGCTGACAATAGCAGATTTCTCGGAGGAATATTTACGGTAAATAATTAATTTCTTCACCTACAAAGCACGTAGAGATACCATTTTAGTGCCACATGATCAGTTTTTCACAGTGGATAATAATAACAATATTAACATGGTTGAGCCAGTTGAGAACCTGAGCTCTCTTTTAGGCACCTGATATATACTATACATTTATCTCAAGGAAGTATTATGTAACATTTAGTATCATCTGGAATAGTACAATAGCATGGTGGTAATAAGAACACCTCATAATGTTACCACGGTTATCACTTCATATTTATTTATTTTATTTATTTATCATTTTTTTATTCATATATACATAAATTACAGCAGAATTGAAAAATAATGGGGGAGCAGTACAACATGGGTTGAACAAGAGGACGGAGCTGTCAGGATTATGTCTAGTTGGCAGATATGTTTATTGCAATGGTAATTTCTTATCTATTTTCATGATAATTTCTGATAAAACGGTTTTGATGGTACAATAAAAGCAGGTACTGTAAATATAGTAGGTGCTTAGACAATAGATATTTTTTAAGAGATGATTTCAAGGAAGGGAGCGAAGTCATTGCTTGGATGGGTGGGGGTAAGTTGTTCCACACCTTCACACTGTGATATTTTATGGAGGTCTGGGACTGAGAGGAGCGCATGGGAGGTGGTCTAGTAGCTTCGGGTGCCTTAAGTTGTATCTCTGATTATCCCGGAACTGGAAATAATTATTGTCAAGCAAGTGATTGATAGATTTGTAAACAAGGAGGGCAGCAGTAGGTGTTAATATCTTGGATTTTTATAATTTCACGCTTGCAACTGTCTAACCTAACCTAACCTAACTTATGATTTACAGTAAATTTATATGGTAATTCTTAACAATGTAGTTGTACCAATGCAGAGATTTCATGACGTACACAACTCTGTAACCTAACTTTTAATTTACAGTAAATTTATATGGTAATTCCTTATCAATGGAGTTGTAGCAATGTGTCAGTTTCATCACACATGCAACTGTCTAATCTCCCCTAGCCTAACCTAACCTAACTTATAATTTATAACAAAATTACGTGGTAATTCTTTTCTAATGTATAATTGTACCAATATGTCGAATTCATCATGCGCGGAACTGTCTACCCTAACCTATCGTAATCTATAATTTACAGTATATTTATATGGTAATTTTATCAATGTTGTTGTACCAATGCATTGATTTTTTCATGCACTCAACTGGCTAGGCTAAGCTAAGCTAACCTAACCTAACCTATATGGCTTTTAAGTCCTGAGCACTTATGGGTATAATTTAATATTCACAACAGATCACATCAAGTTTTATGCAAATATGAAGCTGTATATTTATATGTAGGTTTTGAAATTATAAGTGTCCAAAGGTGAGTTGACACTAATGAAGTAAATAATAAATAATTAAAAATATATTACGTACTGTAAATGGTTCGCCATTTGCATGCATTACAATGTTAATGAATTGATATGGTTATGTCAGTAAGGGCCAAATACAAGAACTGCCATATTGTACATTTTTTTCTGGTCTATGAGGAAAATTCAAGGACAAAATAGTGAATAATTTGGGGATTTTACGGAAGTCTCAAAATTGTCTGTTCTGAGTCTGGGAACCAATTCCGAGGTTAGGTTAGGTAGCAAATTCCAGAATCTTCCCAGTAACTGGAAATATTCCCTATCATTCATGATCGCAAGAATTATTACTTCAGTATTGGTGAAAGGTGAATAGTCAGCTGTATCTCCACCTGTAAGTGAAAATAAAGGCATTAATATTGTGTTAGTTAAATTTGCAAATTCTGAAACATCTTTATTTATGAGGGTTAATATTTATAAGTTTCCAACACCTACATATTGTGGGTAATTTTGTCTGTTAAAAAAAAAAGAAAATTCAATGGAAAAAGTTGATTTTTTTTGGTTTGATATGCAACACACACTCAATTTTTTTTCTAATGTAAATTTTTATGGTGATTCCAAAACTGTAATCCCTTTTTTTTGGTGAAATTCATAGAAAAAAAAAAATTATAAACCCTTTAAAATTTTAATGTTCTACATAAAAATGTTAACCTAACCTACCTAACTTAACCTAACTGGTAAAAATCGGTCAACTTAAAATCCTAAAATTCCCTGGATGACAGAAAAGATAATAATACCATCAATTTATTTTATTTTGGACGGTATTATGGAAGTCTTTTAAAAAGAACTATAAGATTCTTCATATGCTGTTCCATATGGAGGATATGTTTTGAAAAATATTATTCCTTTGCAGATTTCTACAATTTATGTACATCCAATTCTATTTATTTTCTTTTAGTTTCAAAATATAGTTCCATCGTAGTGGTCATCGGGTGGGGGAAAGTGTACCACACGTTAGGCGATTGTTGCCATTTTTCGTTATCGCCCCATTGCTGGCGTTAATCACACATAAGGCGATTGTTGCTATTTTCGTTATCGCCCCACTGCTGCCGTTAAGCACACGTAAGGCGATTGTTGCCATTTTTCGTTATCGCCCCACTGCTGCCGTTAATCACATGTAAGGCGATTGTTGCCATTTTTCGTTATCGCCCCACTCCTGCCATTAATCACATGTAAGGCACGTAATGAATGACCGTTGAATGGGAATCTTTAATGTTTTATATTTTCGTTCTTTTGTCAGAAATTTTGGAATGGTGGTTTAAACATAAAATTTTTTGGCAGAACTGCAGATCCCGTGGTAATACACAAAGTTAAAATACGAGGCCCTACTTCATAAGTTAAAAATTTTACCATGGCTACACTATCAAAATTCTGAAAGATAACATATGATTGCTGTTTAATAATTATAAAGGGAGTAGTCTATGCACTAATTCAATGTATGCCGTCTCAATAATACATGTTATAACTCGAGGGTTCTTTTACACCACCATAAGATGATTTGGCCAAAACATTGTCCTAACTGAATGGTACTTACATATTAGCACCAGTGTCAATACACATTCAGGTTTAGATAGTCTAAAATACTACTCTGAAATATAACAAATTAATATGGGTATTCTTGGCTTGAAAATGGATAATCCAGGAATCTGTATACCCTGGGGTTACCGATTTTATGTCATGTTTGGACCTTCATGCTTCTATTAA